CAGTTCTTTTTTTTTTTAATAGGATGGAGGAAGCCAAAGGTGATTTGCAATAATAAAAAAAAAACACGAAATATATTTAAATTTTTGATTTACTTTTTACAAACCAATTTCAATTCAGGCGTCACAAATGATTAATTGCAAATGCCATTAACTGGTCATTTTTGGAAATTCCTTTCCATGGAAAGGCAATAAAAAGAATCAGTTCAGAATAATTAAACAACACAAGTAAAAGTAGCAGCATCAACGCTGGCAACAGCAACATGGCCAAATTGCTTCATTGTGGCAGCAGCTGGTAAACAGTCGACTTACAAATTCCTATAATCGAACAACGGAACGCGCAGCAAAGAAAGACGAGCACAAGTCAAACGAGATGTGGCCGCAATATAATCAATGTGAAATTACAATCCAAGGCAGGAGAAAAGAAGCCAAATGTAAACAACAGCAACTGCAACAGCAACTGCAACTGCAACGCCACATTGCAATGGGAGCAGCAACCAAAAACAACAACAATAGCAACATGTTGCTGCAGCGTTTGATGTTGTCAACGCGCCTCATGTGGCGCACACAAATCAAACACACATAAATCAGTGTGTGGATGTTGCACAGTCAACACGAAAAAACAATGGCAGACAAACAGAGACATCTCCGATTGAAACAAATGTGCATCAGCATGGGTGGCAGGGCCAAAAGGGGGGCGTCTCTAATATGCTCTTTTAAAGGGTATTTCAGTTTTCAGTCAGGAATTGTGTAATTTATGGCGAGCATTTTTGACTACTTAACGTATTTTAACTCCGATTGATTCTTGTTTTCCAAACATTTTATTTATATTTTTGTATTCCTTATTTCTGCTAGAGCATTTATGGAGTCGGTGCTCCCAGCAATTCTTTTTTTTTTATGAAATTTTGTGTAAAATGATATTTCCCCAGCTGCTTTATGGCATATTGACATTTGGCAAATGTCAGATTGCGGCCTTTGTTTGTCCATTGTTCAACTGTCTGTCTGTCCCTCGCCCCCCTCTGTCTGTTTGTCTATTTAACTGTTTTATTGGCTTCAGCTGTCACAAGTTGCTGCATGCGCCATTAATCAAACAACGAAAACCAAAAAAAAAGGTGTTTGCAACACCTTTAAATTCAAATGTTGGCAGCTATTTGGCACACACATCAACAAACTGCAAATTATGAGCAATTATTGCTGAGTGTGACTTTAGAATGGATTGCGTGGGCAATAGCAACATGCAACGCCCACGTGCAGCAAGTGTTGCAGCAACATGTTGCGCTGTCAACAGTTATTAGGGTCATTCCAAGAAGAATTCGCGAGGCAAAATGTGAAAAATGTGCTGAAATATTGTCGCCATTCTATCAATGTTGCTGCAGTTGTTTTTGCTGCCACAATTGTTGTTGCAGCTTTTGGCAACGACTTTGCTAAATTTAGCGTCTAATGCGATTTGTAATACTTGCGCTAAATTGTGGACATTGCAAATGCTGCTGCTGCTGCTGTTGCTGTTGCTGCTGTACCAGGAAATGTTTTGTGCAGCAGCAGCAACAACAATGAAAGTAATAATATTGTTGCTGCTGTTGCTGCTGCAGTTGTCATTTGCAGACATTGTCGAGAGTTTGTGGGGGAAGAAGAAAGCTTTGCATGTGGCATGCTTTTGTTGTTGTTGTTGTGGTTGTTGTTATTGCTGTTGCTTGTGTATCTTTTTCTCTTTCCATATGACTTGGAAGTTTTCATGTTGCTGTTCAATGCTGCTAGTTGTCAACGCGTTTCCAATTGCAATTGCTGTTTGTTCATGTTGCTGTTGCTGCTGCTGTTGCTGTTGCTGTTACTGTAGTCGTTATTGTTGCTCGTGTCTGCAATTTTGTCGCGCCATGGCACATTACATTTTTGCATAGATCCGCAATTGACGCATTTAATTGAATTTAAATTCCATGCAAGTCTTAGTTGTTGGTCAAAGATCATGACTAATATCGTTTTAGCAACATAATCGATTGTTGCTGATCTGTTCAGCTCTACAAATATAGCTTATGATCTTAGATATTAACTGTTTATGCATTCGTCACAATCTCTATGCATCTGTTATTGCTTGTATTCAATTTATTGCTCATTCAAACCTTGAATTGTTCATACCGCTTGAGGAAATCTATTTTATGCACGCTGAGAAAAAATGTATATTTAAAAATAAGACGTTAGTCATCGTCAAAGCAGCTAATTAAGTATTCTCCATAATTCTCTAAATACCCTCTATTAAAACAGTGAATTGTTATAGCTTTGTCAAAACTGCCTTTCAGATTAATTCTGCATTTAAAGTCTAATAAATCGATCATAGACATAAGCTCAAATTTCCCACAGTTCCAACTTGGTCGATTGTCAAAAGTAATTCACATTTTTTCATATCATTTCATAAAGCACCTAACAAATTCCAGCTCAGCTTGTTCAGCTATAATTTTCATTTGTTTGCCTAATAACTTATGCATGCTAGAAATAATTTCCAGTTTCTACTCACGTTTTTTAATGCACGACAATTAAACGCCTGCGACGACGTTAAATGTTAATAGAAGTGTTTGTTGTCCCCCACATCGATGACATGGAAGCGTTTACTGATAATTAAATGTTGTGTGAGAAATTCATAATTTCAAACAGCGAGCGAGTGAGAGATAAAATAAACGGTAGCCAAAGCGAACGACAAGTAAAAAACACGCACAACATTTTCCCACAAAAAAAGAAGGAGAAAAGAAGTGGAAACACTAAAAAACTTATCGAGTAATCGGATTTTGGAGTGCTCAACTGTTGTGGAGTTGTTTATCGTGCGAAGCATATAAAGTTCCTTAGAAAATGAGAAATGACATGGGAATTGTGGCAGAGCGAGAAATGGCGTGTTGCTGTTGCTGTAGTTGTTGCTGTTGTGGTTTCAATTGTTGTTGCTGTTGTCTCTGTTGCAGTTGCTAGTTACTTTGTACGTGGCAGATGGCTATCTCATGTATGCGAACCCTAAAGCTAGCATTAATGATAGTTTTACCATAGCATAGAAGGAAGAAGTAAGTTGCCTGCAAATGAGGTGTTAAGCTGCCAACACGACAAAGTCACGTGTTCAGCTACAGTATAACTGCCACGCCCCACTCCCTTCTACCTTATACGCCCCCTTTTCGCGTGAAGTGCGTCGCGATAAACTTGAACTTAATTTACAACTAAACTAAACTAAAAAAAAAAAAGGGCCGCAACAAAGGCAACAAACCGACAACAACAACAACAACAGCAACAATTGCTGCTGCCGCTTTGCCAGCAACTTTTGCTGTTCTTTTCTTTGAAGGCGTTGCCCGTTTTTGATGGGATCTCGTGCTCTCTGCCTCTCGGGCTGTGGCAAATGCATTTTGCATAATAAGTTCATAAATTGTCAGAAACTGTGGGCAGCCCTCCTCAAAGAGAGAAAGGAAGAGGAGCCAACGAGTAAGTTTAACTGTAGAGTTGAACCCAGAAAAAATGGTTTAATGACTTTGGCTTGGTTAACTCTTGAGCGGCTTTAGCAGCTTGTTGCTCAACGTATTTCTTGATTGGTTTATGTCTGCAGCTAGTTAAGTTTTCTATAAATACAAATGCGGGTGTTATGCTAATTTCAGTCCAGTTGAAAGTGTTTATTCAGTTAGTGCCAGTTGGTCAGAGTTTGAGAGGGAACAGTTTACAAGATGGTTTTTTCATCTCTATTTTGTTTACCATCAGAATGATTTGTAGTGTCCATCTGAAAACAATTTACAAGTGCCCGTTTCCAAAACTTTGTTTACTGTTTATGTGGCACAGTTTCACCTGCTGGTTTTTCAAAGAAATAAGAACTCAAAACTGATGTCTTGTTTAGTAGCTATAAACAAAACAATCAAAAAAGGCGCCGCAAAGAAGTCTCTCGGCAAATCATTTGTTTTTATATACATAGTTTCCGACAGACTCTTGAGATTTCTTGCTGCTGCTGACCTTGAGAAGGCCTCGTTAAAATGGAATTCTTTTGTGGGCCTACAACATAGAACAAGATTACGCAAATCCACTAAAAGCTAATGAGAAAACTTTTGAAACATGTGGCAGCAGTAGACAAAATTCAATTTCTATGAATATTTTCGACATTTTTATAAGCTGTTAATCATAAAATATTTTATAAATGTAAAAAGAGGGGTAAAGCCAAGGTCAACTGAGGTTAAGATACCAACCACAAAGTTGCTTTCCCAAAACTAAAATAAAATGAATGAAGTGTTCGCACTTGTGTTTTTTTCAAGGGGTCCACCCTCGCCCAGAGATGAGTGTGCTCCTCCAGCTGCCTCTCCTCCTGCTCCAAGTCACCCACATAATGTGTGCCCAACTTTTGTTATTTGTATTTTATTTATTTGATTTTTTTTTTGGGTTTATCTATCATCTGTCTGGCCAACAACTGTTTGTCTGTTTTCTTTTTATTTTGTCTGTGTTTGTCTGGCACTGGCAGTGGCACCATGCAATTGAAAGCAATTATAACATATGTGAAGAAGGAAGCTCGTCGAAGCTGCTCAGGCGATGGTTACGTGATGCGAAAAATGTTTTGTGTTTTGTGGAAATGTGTGAAATTTTCTTTGGCTGAAAATGCGACTGACCAACGAACAGTTGAGCAACATTTATGCTTTCTGCAGATCCAAATCGAATTGCCCAATTAAAAACTGAATAATACAGCAATAATAACAGGCAATTAAACTCAGTTGCTCCACTCTGAAATGTAGGCGATTTCGAGTCAATATATAATTTATAAAATAGTTGTAATTTAGATTATGTATATTTGAAAATAGAAACTTTTAACGAGACTAAAGTATAATACGAATAAGTAGAATATTTATATATATATGTCTGATACTTTAAGATACTTTAACTTTACTTTAAGAACATTTTCGACTCTATCCAAAAGTACATCTCAAGCTCAGCTCTTTAGCTCAAGTTGTATTCATAAAGTATTAAATATTCATACTCCAATCTCTCAATTCTTTTTCCATTCTTAGAACGGCTTGGATGACGACGACGACACCGAAGACGATTCATTTGGCTACGAGGGCGAAGGGGACGAGGCAGACGGCGACGCTGCCACCGAGGACGATCTAAACGAAGTCGCCTCCGATTTGGATCTAGAGTGCGAGAGTCGCAATTCAACGGAACTGTTGTTGTTGCAACGTTGCCAACTGGCTGCCACCGAGATTGTCTCCGCCAACGTTTCTGCCGAGGATCAGTCACGCGATTGTATCGCAACCCAAAAGGTAAACAAGCCAAACATGCACAAAAATACATTTGCATATATGCCAAATTTGTGCAAAGTTTGTCAGTTTCTTGTTCTTCTCGTTGTATGTTTGTTAGTATGTAGTTCATTGTTGTTGTTTGAGTTGCTAGCTAGAACTATTATTATGCATGCCTTCTACAGTATTGTCAACTTTGCTGAAAACAAAATTAACCTTAACCAGTATCCAGTATCCCGTATCCTAAAAGTCCAAAATTTAACAAAAGAATCTTAAAACTTGTAGCTGGCAATGATGCTGCCATTTTTGATAAGAGCCCAAAGAACCCAAAGGAGCTGACAACAGTGCATATGTTTATATATATATATAAATATAGTTGTCAATCTTTGCCACTAATTCGAAAATAAAAGCAAAAATTGGCTGTGAACATTTCTAAAAATGTTTCCACAGTCAAATTTAATTCCAAATTTCAACCAAATACCTCCCAAAAATTGCAACTAGCAAATAAAGCTGGTAAATTTCAATATTCGCCCAAGTTGGCAGCACTGCAGCAGCATGTAAACTTTGTGTGTGTGTGTGTGAGTGTGCGTGAATCTGCTGTTGACCTTTAACTCTGCCTGCCACTGACTGCATTTGCCTAACCATTTTGTTGTTCCACACGAAACAAAACACAAAAACACAAAACACAACTCAAACAACTCAGCCTGGCGACGAGGCTGACGAGGAGCCAGAAGAGGAAGACGACGACGACGCTGACGTTGTTGATTTTGTGATTGCCAAACGCGCTTGGCGGCCATCGAAATCGATTCCAAATTGCCACTCGTTGGGTGCAGCAGCAGCAGCAGCAGCAGCTGCAACACTCACCGATTTCGAGGCAGATTCGGAGAGCAGCGATCTGGAGCAGGTGCAGCAGCTGAGACGCGGCGTCGGCGGTGTTGGCATCATTTGTGGCAATCAGCGGCGTGTTGTGTTGCCCATTGTTGCAAGCCACCAGCACCAGTACCAGCACCACAACAACTATCAGCACCACAGTGCAGTGGGTCATGTGGACATGATGTCGCATGCCACCAGCAGCAGCAATTCCCATCCGAATCTGACAAATTTGTCGCTGTTGCAGCAGACGCGCAACAACAAAATGTTGCCGCCACAGTGCCACAATGGTGGCAATAGTGGCAAGCCGAAGAATATTGCCGTTGCCGTCATTACACCCAACACGCATAATCACAATCACAATCACAATCATCATAATATGCATCACGGTCACGGTCACGGTCTCGGTCACGAGTTGAACAAGTCGCCAACGGTGCTGCGGAAAGCGGGAATCGGTCATCATCGTAGTCATCATCACAATGACACCTCCAAGTTCAATCGTTCCAATCGCAAGTCCAAGAACTGCGCCATCTTCTACTTCAAGCATTTGGACACGGACAATGAGACGAGCGGTGCTGGGACCGATGGCACAGCTGGTGAGGGGGACAATGAAGCCGCCGTTCAACGTTCCAGCGATGTTGTGAGTACCGTTATTTCAGCCAGGTGTTGGTTGGTCGTTGGTTTGTTGTTGTCTTGGTGACTGGGTCTTCTTCAACTTCACATCTTGATAAATCTGCAATATCCAGCTTCAAATTCGTTGCGGTTATCGACTTTAGCGGTCTCGATCTATCGACAATCGCTCATCACTCGATTGTTGTTGGACATTAGCATGATTAGTTGCTCATTACCATGCCAAATGTGCTGCCATTTGCATGACTTTTGCATGTATACAACTTATATACATTTTATATACATTTAACTTAACTCGTATTTATATATATAAAACTATTATTTATGTATGTTTAGTCTTTTTAGCATGCCTAACAATTTCTTAATTAACTTTTGCTGGCTGCTCATTAACTGGTAGTCAATCATTATCGCATCGCATCATTAATCATTAAGCGACTTTCATACAGAGTAGAGTTTAAGGCTGTAAGCCACAACCCGCACCCGGGGCTATCACAGTGGCTTGATTCATGTCAGAGGTCAGCCCTCGAGTTCTTTAACCCACCTTCCCCAAAAAACATAGTTCCGCGTCCGATAATGACTCGATTATTCAGTTACAAATTGTTCTCAAGACGAGGAGTGCGTAACGAAAGTACAAAAAAACGTTGGAATTTCGTTCAAAAGATCAAAACAGTAGGGAAATATTGGTGTTGTGTTGACTGAAATTAATTTTCAGTTGTGATCCTAGGAGCTACATACTCAGTAATCATTAGCTTAATTGTTAATAGTTCTTTCAGTTAATGGATAAAATCTCAAGAACTATTCAAGAACTCAAGAACAAAGAAATAAAGAATCTATTATGCTCTTAATTGTTGTCGTAAGTATTTCGAGCTAAACCAGGAAATTAAAAGCTGTTGCCAATATGAATTATAAGATATCTTATTCATTTCGAAGGAAGTGCTTAATCTAAAAGATATCTTATTCTGGGTAAACTTATCAACTATATAAGATATCTTTCATTGCGCACTTTCAATTTTGTTTGAGCAGGATTCGTAGAAATTTAATTGAATAAATTTGTATTCCCATTCGTGTTCAAGTCCGGAAATCAAATGAATTTTTGATAAAGAAACAATTTTACAAAGTATAAATTTGAAATGTAATTCAGAATATTTTGAAGAGATATTAACTTGAATTAGTAGAGCACAATTAGTGATGTGCATCAAATTACAGTAAAGCTCACCACATAATGCTGCTCAACTATTGCAGTTGCTGTTGTTGCTGGTTTTACTTTGGTTACAACGCCTTCAACACGCATTTTTGACGAGTGCACTGGCAGCAACCGTCAACGTTTGCTCAAAGACAAACCAAATGGAACGTCAATTATATAAATATATAAGATATATATATGAATATGTAAACAGAGAAAACGACAGCAACAGCAACTGGCAGTCAACTGTTGAGAGGGCGTCACGGCGGCAACTCCTCCAGTTAGTCGAAGTGCAACAGGCCATGGCCAACACAGCACAGCACAGCAGAGTCGAAGTCGGAGTCAGAGTCAGAGTCGAAGACAAAGTCGAAGCCGGAATCAGAGTCATCAGCTCAAAAGATATTTGCTACTCATGCGCCGCAGCAATGCAGCAGCAATTTGTACCTACAACTGTTGCTGTTGTTGCTGTGTTGCTGCTGTTGCTGCTGTGTGTATGTGTTTGTTGCTGACAGCAAGTTACAATTTGCCATTTTGCGCAAGTAACGCTAATTAAACTTCATTTTCTACTACTTCATCTTCATCTGGCTGGCATTGCATTGCATTGGCAATTGCAGCTTGCGCTTCGCTCTGTGCTCTGTGCCACAGATGCATTTGTAGCTTCATCCTCTCGCAGCCCACACAGCTTTTGCTTTTCTTTGCTTAATTTTAATTTACCATACTAACTTTTTGTTCGGTTACGCTCCCCTCCTTTAGATACTGAAATCGGCCGATGCCTCGACGGATGACGACGACGAAGGTTGGCTCTACACAGCAACAGCTACAGCTACAGCAACAACGACGATTGCAGAAACAACAACAGCAACATCAGTTGATGGTCTGCAGTCGACTGCAATCTCATCGACAACGTCTGGCGCCGCAGCTGGAGTCGGAGTTGGCTCTTCTACAGGCTGCGACGACTCTGATAAGGAGAACAAGGAGACGCTGGTGACCACATCGACCACAACAACAACAGCAGCAACAGCAATCGCAACCAGTGTTGCTGTTGGGAGTGGCAGCAGCAACTACGACAGCAGCAGCGCCTGTTCGTCGTCCAATTCGAACGGGGTACAAACAGAGACCTCGGCAACCTCGCGAGTAACCCAAATCGTTGTCGTCGACAACATGGACACCAGCAACAGCAATCACAACAACAACAACAACAACTGCAGCACAAGACACATCATTAGCAACAATTGCTACAATGGTGACAACAACAGCAACAGCCACAGTCAGCAGCATCAACTGAATGCCAGCAATAACAACAACAACAACTGCAGCAGCAACAACAACAACAACAATAATCACAAACATCAGCAACAGTCGCGCTTTGACTCTAAACTGCAACAGCAACAGCTGAAAATGGTCGCAAATCTGGAGAACCCTGATGAGACAATTGTTGCTGACAATGCAAATGGAAATGGAAATGCAGCACAGGTGAGCTGGAAAAATCAAGTGCCTGTCGAGTTTAGATATTAGATATATGAAAAGCGACATTTTATTGCTTAAAATAGAAGTTTGCCAGTTTCACTAGAATTTGTAGAATTCAATATATTTTTGATATTACTAAAGATGAGATTGGAAATTGATATTTGATATTTTTAATTGAAATTCAATATTTAGGACTGTACTTAAAACTGAATTTGAATAAGTTCTATTAATGCTTATCTGTAAGATCTTGAACTAAATGTCAGATAAAGCAAGACATCATTAAAATATTGAGAGAACTTAGACTCGAATCTATCAGCTCAATGCTTGGCTATTATTATTTTTTTAATAGTCTGACAGATATATCAGCTTAGGAGCAGTGGCACTTCGAAAGAGAGCCGAGAACTCGAGTGGTGCTAGTGGTGTCCTACCAGAAAACACTTTAATAGACCACGAAACCAAAAATTGGCAAAAGTACAAATCACCAGACATGCAACAAGCGACCGCTGCACGTTGGGCACTCGGACAGGTTCCCACAGTCTTGAAGACTTGAGACTTGCGACTTGAGATTTGAGATTTGAGTCTCAAGTCTTGTGTGTCTGGCAAGTCGTCTCCTCTTGTTGCATTTCGATTTCGATTCGATCGCTGAATCGCCTGCCAAGTCTGCCAAGTCTCACTGACTTGTGTCAATAAAGTTGGTTTCGTTGCTGCTCCAACTTTGTTTGCCATTAGCCCAACCAGAAGTGTGGGGTTAACCGAGGGAGGGGCGGGAGCAGCGCCTTTTCAATAAATGGCAACCGCCTCTTTATTTCTTGAGCTGCTGTTGCATTTGCTTTTGGTGTTGTTGTTGTTGGTGCTTTTGTTTAGCTGCCTCTCCACCTGATGATTAAGCAGTTGGGTTAATGAAAGCGAATCATGCACCGACTTGACTCGAAAACGACTCCTGTCCCGGCAGCAGCTGCCATTCAAAAAATTGCTAACCAACTACCCACTGGACTCCTGACTCTGCCTGGCTGTGCCTGACTGACTGACATACAGACAGACAGACAAACAGACAGACAGACGGAGCTGGCGATAGTCCAGGAAAAACTGTCGCTGCCTGGAAATTGAGCAGCGCACGTCAAAAATGGGAAAGTACGAAATTAACTAAAAAACGTGTGATTTATTTCTTCATTGCGCGCAGCAAACAAAACCAAAACCAAAACCAAAAACATTTTGTACAATTGAAAGGGACGACTGAGACTGCAACTGAGACAGTAACTGAGACAGCAACTGAGACAGCGACAGAGGCAACGAGGACACGTTCGACTTGGCCAAGATTTATGGGGGGATTGCTTTTAGCCCCGGCATTATAATAAAGACATGCAGGAAATACGCTGCTCTGCTCAGCTCTGCTCAGCTCCCAGCTGATTGATTATGAGTTTTGGCATTCGCTTTTCTTTTCTTTTCATTTCTTTTCGATTTATAATTTTAATTAAACCAACTTTTCTTATCCTCCACTTTCCAACAGCTGCTGTCAATGTGCAACAACAACAACAACAATAACAGTCGCTTCTACAGTCGCGCTGATATTTGCAACATCAGCGTCTGGCCCAGCGAGATGAGCAACTGCAGCAATGGCAATCCAATTGGACATCCGCCACACAATGGAAATCGTTTGCCGCCACGTTCCCCGGCCAAATCTGCCAAGTCGCACAAATCGCAGGCGAGCAGCAGCAATGCAACAATGTCGCCAGCTAAGGTAAGTCTATGCCCCTCTCTCTATCTCTCTCTCTCTCTTTCTATGTATCCCTGTCTCCCTCTCTTTCGCTCTCACTCTGCGCCAAGGAAGCGGAAACATTTCCTGCGCTTGAGCTGGAATCAATTTTCTTCTGCTCTACTTTCTCTTAATCGTTGTTAAGCTGACAAGATGCATTTTGATTTATATGAGAGTTGGCAACGCTGAGCAAAAGGAAGCTTTGTTCAGCTTAGCTTTATTCAATTCAAACAAATAGCAATATTATTATACGATTTCCATCCACTGATCTTGAATCTTTGTCAAGAAGCCATTGAGGTTTATATTATATTTCGCCAATTCTTTTAGATAGTGTTCCAAGTTTCTGACTCTCATTCAAACTAATTCATTAATTCAAACATATTGAATTATACAAGCCAAGTTAAGCCTGGTTAAGTTTCTCTCAGTGCACTGCCCACAACTGCAACATCATTTTCCCTTTCAACAGTGCAAAAATCAACAACGAAAAATGCATAACATTCGCAATTTGTCAGCTTTGGGGCAGGTGCAGGGGCAGGGGCAGAGACGCTCGTTGTGGACACATTGCGTGTCGCACGTTCACACAACCGTGACCATGAGAGGCAGAGTACGCAAGTGGAGCTGCTGCTGTAAGTGGAGCCTGCTGCCTGGGCACACAGATCTCTGTTATGTCGTATTATAACGGTTCGGAGACGCCTCCGCGGCTCCTCTTTGTTGTCGGCTCGAAACTCTCAGGGTTTCAGTTTCGCTTGAAATGCACACGAGTTGGCTTCGTTTTTGCTTTTGGATCGATCGCTCGATCGATCGTTCGCTGAAGCATCGATTGAATTCAACTTTACTTGGCTGGTGGTCCACTCGACGAGGAGCTGCTCGCTCGGCGGTGGTGTGTGGTGGTGCTGCTCGGTGGTGCCGCTGCTGCTGGTGCGTGTGTTGTGCGTGTTTTACGTGAATTTGCCTCAAATTTCTCTAAGCTCTTTTTGTGGCTTTTTCGTGTCAATTTGCTGGTAAACAACATGTACCCAAACATGTCCACTGACAACTTGCCGCATCTAATGGCCTGTTAGCCATCATCTTTGGTAATTTAAGCCAGTTTACTATAGCTTTTTTTTTTTTGTGAAAATCAGCGGGTGGAAGTCAACTAGCAGCAGGCAAGTGTTGAAAATGAAATCATGATACTAATTTGAGCTGACGCAACTGTGGCAAATATTTTGTTGTATTAAACGATTCAAGTAATTGTTGTCAAACACAATAAAAGTCAAAATAATTGTGGAAGTAAAGAACTGTGATTCCAGTCACTGAACTCTTTGTATAAGAGTTATTCAAGTCAATTTAGGATATGTAGGCTATGTCAATCATGGTCACAGAGTGATTGATTAATTATTATAATTAACAATCAATCCTTCCCACTAAATTCTAATAGATTTTTATACTTCCAATTTGAAATAGCTATAAACGAGTGCCTGAAAACAGCAACTAGAGCAACATTTGAAAGCTGTATGAATTGAGTATCCTAAGACTAAAAACTCAACTAGAGATCTCTATTTTCCTCAAAGTATAACTTATATTTTATTCACAACTGAAAAACATGTTTTACTTGGAAAAGTTGTAGCTAATCAAAAGCTTTTATTTCTTACCAAATTTGACTCTTTCTATCTGCTTCTTATGCCTCTCTCAGCGATTCTCAAAATGATGATTCAATGATGGCTCAATTACTTAAAAATCGTGCTTTTAACACTGTTATTCAAGCATTTGTTAAACTTGCTGGCTGAGTGGACATCATCAGTGTCTGGTTTTGTTATCCAACTCTCACTTTTAATATTAACCAGACGAGCGTCGCTAACATTAGCAATATGCAGCATGTTGCATGTTGCATGTTGCTGTGTGCATGTTTTGTGTGTGCGTTGCTCATGTGTGTTTTGTGTTTGTGCTGTGTGCGTTGGGTTTGTGTTTGTGCAGTGCGTCATTTGCATTTGTTGCTGACAACTCGATTTCAGACGCAGCAGCAGCACTACTTCCACTTCCCCCTCCAGCTTGCCCCTGCCTTGCGCAATCTGTGCACGCAGTTTTCACTGCTGTCCTGTCCTGCTGTCATCCACCCGAGGGCAGCTTCAAGCTGCAAGCTGCAAGCTCCAAGCTGCAAGCTACAGACACCGACGTATCTCCAATCTGAGCAGTATCCGCTGCGAATGCGTACATTGATTTATTGAGAGTGAAATTTGCGACGCATTGATTAATATTGACAAATTTCGCATTTGCAAACTAAAAAAATACCCATTTTTTTGTCGCTTGAGTTTGTTTTTATTTAATTTATGCCAGACGAAGCGTATCGTATCGATTGAAAAGCCCCCGAGATAGGCCAGAGCCAAAGACTAAAAAGAAATCTAATGACGTTCGAATCAAATCAAATTGATAGCCAAGAAATTGATATAGTTTATAGTTGTCTTATCTTATCCCATTTTATCTTATCTAATCGCATGGGCAACTTCAAATAAATAAAACGTGCGCTAAGCTGACTTGTTAACAAAATGAATAAAATAATATATAAAAATATATAGTGCAAATTTTCCGCAAGCAAACAAATCGATGACGAGCCGACCACAGCGTGATCAATCGTGATCGATGACAAACACACAGCACACCCTGCAAAAAATTTCGATTGGCATTTTATGTTTTTATTTTTTGCCGGCTTTTTATCTTATCGTTTTGGCACAGCTAAACGCGTTTCGCTGTCGGCTTGATTTAAATTCGCAATGGCAAACTTTCAGTACGTATTGCAAAGTCGACAGCAGCGGTCGAGGCGCAGTTACACATTAAAAAAGATACAGTTACAGTTAGACAAACAAAGATACTACAAAGATACAAAGATACAGATACATATGCAAATCCATTAATACAAAACAAACGCGCAACAATAGAAAGCCACAGTAGCATTTTAGCTATTGTTATTGTTATTGTTATTGTTATTGTTAGTAGTTTTTATTGTTGATATTGTTTGAGTTTTTCGCGTAATTTGCATTTAGCTTAAAAAGTGTAATTAAGCGAGCAGCGCTTGTCAAACTGTGGCGATTCAATTCGCGATTTGCGTGCGTGCCGCACTGCAATTAAATTTGTGCAAAGGCAACACAAAAAAAAAAACAGAAACAAAAACAAAAAAATAAAACAAGACTCAGATAAACACAGAAAAACGGCGATTGTCAAGGCCCACAAACAGTTGAAAGCCAAAAGCAGCTGTCCACAAGCACTTCAACAGTTTGTCAGCCACTGTGTGGCATTTGACTGCCATTCAGCGATGAGCGCGTGAGGCAGATATAACAACAAAAATAATATAAACTGTGATAGACTTAATGAAAATAAGTTAAAAGTGAATTATTTGTGATATTTGCATAATTTTTTGGTAAGTTGAAAATCTTAAAAATCGAATTGTAATTCAATTTGATAGCCAGAGTCATTAAACTAAAGTTAGTCACAACTATCGCTTGCATATATCGTGTGTCGTCTATCGCACATATATTGCAACCGGCTTGCAGCGCTAGTGTTGTTTCCAGTTTTACTTAATTGGCTAATGGCCAAACAAAAAAGCCAAACTCATATAATTGCCTTTAATTATCGCAAACGCCCAATCGCAAAAGGATTTGTTGTTGCTTTTTCTACGGTTGCCATTTGCAAACTTCGTTTAGCATTTGTTGTACAACAACAACAACAACAACAACAGCACACATTGGAAATTGTTTCCGTTGAGTGTTGAGTGTGCTGCACACGCAGTTTGAACATCACTGTTTGGCCACAGGAAACTGTTAATTTAATTAAGCCAAAAGATTAGCAATAAAAAGTGAAGCGTGTTGAGCACCACGCAGACAGCACAGACCAGCACCAGCCACATACAGCAAGAGAGAGACTAGAGAGACTCACTAACTAACTAACTTTCTGCACAAATGTGTTAATGATGTTGACATGTGCAGTCCAATTTGTATATTTATAATCGCTGTTGAATTTGGACCTGTTGAATACACTAAACACAAAGAAACAGCAGCTGTCTTGGCTTGGCTTTGGCTGATTGACTCATTTTGTGTGTGACGCGCGAAAGAGCCAAAATGGATAAACATATGCCTCGCTTCGAATTGCTGAATTGTGCAACACAATTTGCAATTAACCATTTATTTTTAATGCCTTTTGTCGAAAAGGTTAACGCCAAGTATTCGTTTGCTTCGCTCATTTTGGAGTGGCAAATGTTTTGTAACAAACAGAAAAAATAAAAATAGAAAACCAAAAAACAAAAACAAAAACAATTCAATCCAATCATTATCAACGCTTCGCTGATTTTTTCTTTATTTTCGAATATAATTTGTTAGTTCTCATTCGCTGAACAATCATGTTGAGTATGTCAAATTAACATTTGGGATTTCTGAAAAATAGTTGCAAAATGAGACGGGGAAATACATTTATAAAAGCCTACATTATTTTGTTAAACTTTGTAAGTAGTTATTTACTTAAATACAAAAAGGAAATTGTATTCAACTCTAAACTATAAAAGAAAATTACGTTTTAAATTTGGCAAACCTTTGAACAAAGGAAATCCTCCTGCGACCCACTTGATTGACGGCCCACAGAACGAAAGATAAGAAAGTGAATAAGTGAATAGAAATGAATTGTAAATAGAACTAAAGATAAGTGAAGTTGAGTGTGAATGTGAGTATGAGTGTTTGCAAACCTTGAAAGTGAGTGCATAACACAGACTCTGACTGCGATTCAGCTGCGAATGAATGGGAATAGTGGAAACAAAGAGCGATAAGCGATCCTATTCACCAATTCGTGGAACTCTAAACTGATAAGAGAGAGAGAGAGAGAGAGAGGGAGAGAGAAAGATAGGCGTTTGTGGCAGAGATGCAAGTTGTAGATGCATATCCGCCCACGCAACTCACTCAATTGTTTCTCGCATGAGTCACTTGAAGAAGTGGAAGTCGAAGCAGTAGCAGAAGTGACCCATGGAATAATTCAATTTGGCATGCTCATTAATTCTCACTCTGTTTGTCATTGGGTGCGCAGGGCAAGGTCTCGCATGATTCAATCAAGCAGCTTGTGCTCGAAGCTGAGCATTTGGTGCGCGACGCTCAGGAGGCCGCATTGAAGACGCCAACGAAGCAGAATCATTCCATCATCAAGATATCGTCCACGGTCAAGAAGCGCGAACCCAACACCATGCCCAGTCCCATCAAGCAGCGTGTCGAGGTATGCACGACAATCAATCGCAACAACTCGATGCCAAATAATAATTAACAATTACTCTCTTTATTATTGCAGGAGTGGTTGGAGCATCAGCCACCACGACTGGTGTTCACAGGAGCCAGTCTCGAGCTGCCATCCGTTAAGCCCGATGATTGTGAGGCCTCCGGCGAGGCATCCGAAACGGATTCGATGCCACAGCCGGGCGTCGTTTGCGGTGGCTCCGAGTCATCGGAGGGATTCACAGACTCGATTGCGACCTGCATGCAGACGAGCACCAATTCGTATGGGAATTCAACGGAACGCATTGGCGGCTCGGCCGAACCCATTGGACAGCATCCGACCACACCGCTGGGCTACGGCAGCAGCAATCAGAGCCTGAATCTGAAGATTGTCAAACGTCAGCAGACGCGTCGCAAATCGGAGCGTCCCTGGAGCGTCTCCTGTCTGTCACAGTTGACCACAGATGCTGCCCATCAGATGACCACAACCATTGCAGATGCTGGTCAGAGTTCGCCGCCTGGTTTGGCCAGCCACTCGATCAGTGAGAGTGCCCTCGATTCCCTCTCGCCCGGACCGAGGGCACGTGCTGCCTCCTCCTCTGGCACGGGCAGCAATACGGCACGCAAGGCAGACAGCAAGGGATCGTTGCGCAGGCGGCGAGCGCGCAAGAAGCGCATGTCTGCCACCTCGGGGGGCAAGAAGTCCGATTCCGGTTCGGAGGCGCCTGGTGATCTCACCCAGACGCTGATGAAGTCCTGCGAATCGATGTCCTCGCAGCAGCTGCAGGACTTTACCAAGGCGCTGCTTAGCATACAGAAGGGCGGCGCAACGCCCAAAAAGGATGAAACCAGCAGCAACAACCCAGCGGAGGGCGGAGAATCGGAGTCGCAGCTAATGGTGCCCAAGTTCCGAGTGGGCTCCTTCACCACCGCCGCCTTGATGGCCAGCGATATACGCTTGGGCGCCTTGGCAGCTCTGTCCAACTACGGGCACGAGGATGTGCAGCAAGCAGGTAAGCAGCGAGTTAGTGGCTCCCACTGAGTGCTGCAGTCAGTCTTATCAGGCTTATCTTGACTGCAGAGTGGCAAAACGTTGTTGAAACGATGTGAGAGATTACTTTCCAAAATAATAATGATATCATCAGCACTCGCCTAATCTTCGCTTTGTTTTGTCCATTTATCGATTAATCATCGTTGTTGTTTTTCACTCGTTTCAATATCGTTATGTGCCCCAAGGCACCACACCACAGACACACCAACTAATCTGTATGTGTAACACTTTTCTCTGTCTGTGTATATAAAATGTTTCTTCTCACAAGCACACAAGCCCCCCCAACAAGTACCCAGGCGAAAAGGTACCACAAAATGCACCCCATTCAAATTTCCCCCTTAAAAATTGAAATTGATTTATTTATTTTATTTGAAATTTGTGTACAATTGTATTTTTGGCACAGAGCTGAGCACTGAGGATCATCACAGCAGCATCTCGGAGTCTGCTTGGGACAACTATCAAGAGAAATACAATTCGGAGAACTATTCGGAGGGCTTCGATTCGGATGCAGCGCGTCGTCTCTTGGAATTTGGCGATGACTATCGGTGAGTAGACATATCAGATATATAATAAACGACCTTCGCGTAATTTATTTATAGCAATAAAATTATAAAAAAATATATATTTATTTCTTTGTGTGGTTTGTGCAGCAATTTCATCGATTCGCAGTCCGATTGCTGCAGTTCTCTGTCGGCGGCCAACAATTTGGATTCGTTGTCGCCACCGCGCATGGATTCGCTGCAGCAGCACGAGCAGAAGGCACTGCACATCACCCAGGAGACGATCAGCAGCAGCGTGGATCACGGTCGTCGCCAGCGCGCCTTGGAGCTGCAGTACGAGCGACGTCGCAAGACGATGGAAGTGCGACGCAAATCCCTACAGGGTAAGCACCATGAACAGGGGGTATTCCCTTGACACAACACATCTAACACACTAATATCATCATCCCCGCTCAGATATGGCTGAGGCCATTGGCACACAGAAGGAACTGCAGCAGGAGCAGCAGGTGACCGCCTTAAATCTAAATCTATCCTCATCGGCCACAGCGCTAATGACGCCCAAGAATCCGACGGGTGCCCAACAATTGCCCATCCGAAATGATTCGGTGGGACGCAAACTGGAATTTGGTGCCGGGATGAGCCACTCGGCGCAGTCGCTGCTGCGTCGCACCTCGGAGAGCGACACTTCGACGCGTCGCCGGCGCACTGTCACAGCGGATGAGCGAAGACGCTCCTCGCGCAATCTGGAAAAGTGCATCAAACTGATACCGGCCACCTCCTCTTCGAGCGGCGATGACTCCGAGGATGGGGAGCAGGAGATGCGCTCACTGCTCCAACAAAGTCGCGACCGTCTCGAGGATACGCGTGCCTTGAAGATACGCTGTCATCTGCTCAGACCGGAGGACTATGTAAGTGCAAACAGGAAACACAAATATTTCTCTTGCAGTTTGGTGTCAAGTTGGGACTCATGGAATATCTTATCTGAAGATTCATTTTAGCCAGCAGTTGAGCAGAGTTTACAGTTTACATTTCTACACAAATCTTCGAGTCATGATTAAATTGTATAACTAACTAATTTGTATAAATCGCAACACATCTGATAAAGTTATGTGAACCGTTTTGAGACCACTCCCAAAGCGAATCCTTTTTAAGATAGTCAAAATCGCATTTCCTACTTGAAATGTAGTTTAATTCTAGAGTTCAAATCATAAATTTAAAGTTTCGTAGACTTTTGCAACAGTTATGGCATTAAAAAGTTTCCCAAAAATGAATTGAAGTTCAACTCAAACACACCCAGCACTGGCAATAGTTGTAACTAACCCCTAAAAATAAACTAGGCCACGCATCTAATCGATTTTCTTTCTTCCTTTTTTGTTTGGCGCACAGAACGAGATAATTAATACTTGCCGTGACAATATCCGCTGCCTGGAGGCGGTGCTGAGGGGTCCGCCTGGCACGGTGCTCTCGAGCCACTGCGCCGGCCAGACAAAAGGTGAGTCCTTGCCAGCAGCTACTTGTCGCCGCCTGATGGTGCGCAGGGCCAGCACGGTAGCCGCAACCACAACCGCTTTGTTAAATGCTGCAACCGCATCCGCATCTGCTCCCGCTGCTCAGCCAGCTGCGGCGCTGCAGCAGCCGATCCTCGAGTGCAAGTGTGCGCCGATAACGCGATTTATCGGACGCATCATCGAATTTGTGTTGGATGTGGGCAATCTGCTGGAGCATTTTGCGCTCTATAGATTCCTGGCCGGCACGTTGCGGTCGCTTTATGCGCTCGTCAATCGGCCCATGGGGCGGCTGGAGCGTTTATTTGCCGGCTTTCGAGGGTTGCTCTGAAAGCAACAGAAACAAAAACAAAAAAACAGTCTGTCAGTCAGTTGCCCTCAAACTGTACAAACTACACCGTTGCCTTTGGCAGCTTTTGAAGCTGCTTGTGTGAACAAATTTTGTATTATTTTTCTTTTTATTATGATTATTATTATTATTATTATTATTTTGTATAATTAATTTTTGGAAAAATTTTGTTTTTGCATTTGACAAAACGCATTTTGCAACGAATTTACTTACATAATTTTTTTGCATTTGTTTATAATTATTTTAAAAGTGAAAATATTATTTATTTTGCGCATTTATTTCATATTTTTGGCAAATAAAAATTACCGTTTTTTATATCAAGAATACACCAAAAGAAAAACTTTGTTCTAGTTATTGATTTATTTTCCCTTTTGTATCATGTACGAATAATATTAATTGGTGTTATTGTTGTCGTTTAGCTACACGTAATACGTAATTTGTTAATATTTAGATAATATTTATGCTTGTGTTTTTGTCAAATGTTTAACCAAAGTTAATTTCGAAATTTTCATTAGTTTTATATTTAGTTTGACTTCATTTCATTTCGTATTTTTCATCTTTACTAATCTACTTAAACTGTTGCACTTTTTGTAAAGACGGTAAATGGGTGACTTTAACTTAAATCATATAAATTATTGGTAGAATATTTATAAGCTAATTTTCACTATTTTCTCAAGTTGAGCATGACAACTTACAGTTGTGCGGCTACTGTGCGCTTGCTAAAGTTGTAGTTGCACTGTGTCTTAGCTTTTGTGTGTACGTCTCAAACTATAGCCGTCCGAAATATGTAAAAGAAAATGAAAACATATATTATTAATATACTTAGAATTTTTGTTTATGTCTGCACATTAGCCAAAAAATTAGCTTTGACCCCTTCAAGAGCAAATTCTCTTTTGGCAGCTGACGTAATATTTTTTATAAAAGCGGAAATTTTAAGAAAATGATGATGGGTGGAAATTTATTAGAATACCAACAGAATAGATAATAAAACTGTCTCCGAGGAATTTATTGTTTTCGACACACGCCACGGGGCCAAAGTAGTAGCCGAAAATAGCTGTAGGTGGCGCACTTCAAGCTGTGATTTGTGGCTGTCAAACTGTGGCTTAGAGGCTGTCTGTGTGTCTGTGTTTGTTTTGTCTCTGTTATTAGCTGTTGTTGCTGCTGTTATCGCTGTCATTCATCTGCTTTTGAAAATGACGTCGTCTCTGCAGATGACGCCTGCGCCGTTCCTATTGTTGTTTCAGCAGCTCTTAGTCGGCAGCCGAAACTGGTGAGCAAACTGAAATACACACATACACCCATACAGTTACACACACACAGTCGCGCGCTGCGTGTGAAGCCAAGTTCAAAAGTTAAGGTTTGCTGCCTCTTTCTCTCTCTTGCCCTCTCTCGTTATACGAGTTGTGCTCTTCACCTGAAAGCTGCTGCGCCAAAAACAATTAAAGTGGCCGTCGTCGTCGTCGCTGGCGTTGACGTCGACGTCTCTCAGTTCATTTTCAGCGTGCGTTCCGAGCAGTTCTGTGTTTCCATCGTCGTCGTCGTTGTCGTCGCGATTTCTAACTGTTTTTCCAATATGCTTCCGCGCGTTTTAGAACTCAAAACTATTCCCCATAAGTCTCCATTCAGCATTAAATTCCTCGTAAAACTGTGATAGCAACAAGAGACAGTAACAATCTCCACTAAGCTTAATTATTCTAGACATTTTTCACCCATTCATAAAAGTCGCGTGTTTCATTATTGTGTATAAGAGTGAGTGTATAAGAGTGCAGTTATAAGAGTAAATACTCAAGGCGACTATTGTGTTTTCTTCGAGTGTTGTGTTGTTTACCGTCGAGTTTCCCAACTATTTCGAGGCCAGTGCCAGTGCGCAGCAGCGTGTAAACAAATCAGAGAAAAAGAAACTTACTGAACAACAACCAAAAACCAAAAACCCAAAACACAAAGTAAACACAAATTTAAATGATTAAATACGCAAATTGATTTGCTATATTGAGATTTCAAGTGGCGCCGCCTGGCGACCAGCTGGCTTAAGTGGGTCAAAGCGTGCCGCCCCAAGGGTTGTCAGGAGTGAGTAGAGCTCATAAGTGTGAGTGCTAGAAAGAGACAGAGAAAGAGAGCAGTCGACAACAATGGGAAAAGTTAGCGTCGCCGTTCAAACGGACATCTCTGGCATGCTCTCATCGACCAGCTCATCGGCCTTCTCTTCGCGCTCTTCATCGGAGCAAGGTAAATACACACACATACACACATACGAATAGGAATGACACTGTTACCGTTATGTGCATAGAGATGAGCTTATGTTGGAAGTACAAACACAAAAGGGAAACTGAAACTTATCGCTTTTAATTGGGAAACAGGTGTAAATGATGTAGAAACAGACAAACACAAACACAGAGAGAGAGAGAGAGAGATAGAGAGAAGATCGTGCACAAGATAAGAGGCAAACATATAATAGACTAATTGTTTACTTGCTGCGAATGAAAGTGAATGTTAATTTGGTGTGGATAACAGAAAAGATGTTGAGTTAACTGCGACAGCAAATTGCTTACGACCAATGCATTATTTATGAAGCTAACAGAGATTAAAGTAAAAAACTTGATTTAATTAAGAATATTTGCTTGAGAATATATTAACAACTAGAACTCAACAATTGCTGCAACATTAATTAGGCAATTTTGTTGTGTTTAGCAAAGCTTTCTCCATTCGGAAAGATAAATATGTCTGGCATCTCTGGCATCATATTTTACCATATCGTATATTTTAAGTGCTACTTAAAGCAAAGCAGCACAAAGCACTTAAGCACCCTTTTCCAGTAATGCGATCATAAAAACACTTTGTGGGCAAATGAAAAAACGATTACATCAGCCCGCAACTGTTATGTAATCGATATCTCTCTCCCTCTCTCTCTCTCTCTCTCTTTCTCTCAATCAAAAGTTTCTTAAAAGTGTTTCTCTTTTGCAGTCGTAACTTCATTCTTAGCTGGCATGTTGCATCTTTTATAGTAACTGTTTTTTATTGCACATTGCTTGTGCCACATTTCTTTCACATTCTGCAGACACATTTTGACCGACTTAGTTGGCCAACAACAAACACTTGCCACTTGCCAGTAGACGCCAAATTGAGTTGGCCTGCTGCTTCTTCTTTTTCAGTATCTGCTGCTTCTTCTTCTTCGTTACATTGTCAATTAGGCATTGCCTGCCTCCGAGCGAACCATAAAATTCTTGTTGTTGTTGTTGTCGTCACAAATTGCATTTAGCAGGGCGTTTGCATTATGGCCATCATTCTCCTTCTCTCTTTCGCTCTTTCGCTCTCTCGTTGATATTCAGCTCGCATTCACGCTTAGCTTGGCAGCACTCATTAACGGTATTCCAACTGTGCTTTGCGCTTTTATGGTCAATTGTTGGTGTGCCGCTTTTGAAGTTTTACACGACCAAAACAGTAGCAAATAAAAACCAGTAGAAACAAAAACCAAAAACCAAAAAACAATAAACAAATAACCGTTGCACGTGGTTCAAACGTGGGTCAATAAAACCCAGCAAGACCCGACTCGAAAAGCGAGTTATGCTTATATCTAGAAATGGAATATATATTTCCATCTGTTAGCCAAAAACTCTGGCGTCATTAAAAGAATTGCTTAATTAAAAGAAACTTTTTTTTTTCCATTTTTCATTTTTTTTTATTCTATTTTTTTGCTGGCCTCATTTGTTGTTGACCTTGAATGTTGAGTTCGCTGGAATTGAAATTAAATCGTTGAAAAATGAAATCAAACCAAAATTGGTTTTTGATAAATGGTTTACAGTTTCAGTTTTGTGGTTTTTTTTATCCGTATTGCTACGGCTACTGTTAATAAATGTGAAACACACCTTTTCAAATGCCATAAAAGCAATTGCATTTATTATTACATATTTCGTTTTGTTTCCAGGGCGTGTATCCGTTCGAAACAAAAACGTTTACTGCATTCAAGCATAAAGAAAACAGTTTTCGAGTCTGGCCAGGTTAACGACATTAACTCAGCGTTGCCAGGCCTTTTTTTACACCTCTATGCAAATTTCATTTTTCATATTTTCACATGCTTATTTCACTTATTGCGCGCTGCTCGCTAATCAGCTTTTTAAAAATAAACAACAGCTTTTTTTTGCTATTTTTTTCTCGCTAATTGTGTATAATTGTTGTCAGCGTTAGTTTTGTTGTTGTTGTCATTATTTTTTGGCTATTCTCTCTCTCTTTTTCACATATTTATTCAAGATTATTTAAGTCGCTTGTTTTGTTTGTGGCACCTTGACTTGTTGAACTGTGGCACCTTTGGCTTTATAAATTCTTTGCTTTGTCATATGCTGGCAACTCTATTTCTTACCTCATCCGCTTTTTTTTAGTTACGATTTGCTCGATTACAAAATAAATATGTTTTTTTTTTCGGCTTGTTTGGTTTGCGTTAGTGGAAAAAGGCCAAGAATGGTGCCTGGTAGCCTGGTCTGGTAGCAATTGGAACCGCCTTCTCTTTAGTTTAGTTAGTTATTATTTAGTTGTTGACGGCACTCCCCTTTTGTCGCATTCCCATTTTATATTTATGGCTACTTAACACGCAGCCAGCAGTTGCCTTGAGCTGCCAGCCTTATTCGTTGCCAATTTCCCCTTGCCACAGGACAACTTGTATTGGCCTAGGCATATTTGTTGTGCTGTGCCTCAAAAGTAATCAAAATGAAACACTGCCAAATGGGAATCATTTATTTTAAAGCTACATTTATCAATATTGAAACAGTTGAAATTACAGCTTAAGCTTGATTATATTTATAGTTTTCAATAGAATTTATTTAAATAAAACGATTAAGATTAAATAAAATACAGTCCAAGGTTGATTAAGTTTATAGCTTTCAACTGTTCCAGTTTAGACGATAATTATATATGCATATAGCTGAGACTGAACAGCTGCAATTAATTTGCAAATTGTCTATTAAATTGGACAAAAGAAATCAGCTAAAAGAGGAGGCAATCAGAGAGAGAGAGAAATATATTTAGAAAGTGTGTTTATTGCTCAGTTGATTCTTTGCCAACTGCACTTTGCTTATATGTAAAATAAATATTTATATATAAATATATTTATATATATGCAAAAGTATGAGCAACACCCACAAGACAACTTTGCTGAGAATTCAAATTTTCTTTTCTTTGTTTTTTGTTTTTGTTTGTTTTTTTCTTTTCTTTTCTTTTTTGGCATTTTTGCCAAGTTGTGAGATTAACGTCAATGCCCTTGGGCCATTGGCATTTGATGGCTACTGTTGCATTTTATTGTGTTTTTTCTTTTTTCTGCTTGCATTTGCATGTTTTTTACAGATTTTCTTTTTTAGTTTGCTGCATGTCGAAAATGAAAAGAGTTGGAAAGAAAAAGAAAAAGTGGCAAATAAACGGAATGTTTTCCACCTTAGAATTCAATTTATTTAGCAGTTAATAAACTCGGCGATTAACTGCAATTATTTGACTAATTGTTGATTAAAGTGAAAGTAGGCAATAATAATTTCCATTTACTGCAAATTGCAAGCTGCTCGTCCAGAGAGACTATTAAACTGATGATGATGGAGCGTTGCACTTGCCACAGTCGCAAGATTTGTTGTTGACTGATAAAGTGCAGAAGACAGCAACCCAAACCCAAACCCAAACCCAAAACCCAAACAAACCTGACCACAATTCAAGAGTTGTGCAATCCACGTTTGCAAAAGTGCGTAGATTATGACGATGACGATGATGATGATCATTTGCAAACTGGCTGGTTGCTGCAACAAATGAAAGATATAACTTAGCCAGATATCAAAAGGAAGTTTTAGTACGCATCAGCGGATGCGACTGCCCCTATGCCACGCCCCACACCCCCCGTCCTCTGCCACCTCTTTGGTGTGCTGCTCGATCATTTTGTTGCGCTCGAGTTGCTGCTGCTGCTGCCTGCTGTAATTTGTTGTTGCAGTTGTTGTGGGTTTGGCACGCTGCTCGCCCAGCCAGGCAAGCAACAAGTTCAGTCAACCAGTTTCGCTTTGGCTGCCAACAAGTTCGGAGCTGCTCCTCTATTTTGTAGTGCAGTGTTGTGCGTATTGCGTGTAATTCGTGATCTGTCTGCTAATCGCCATCGTTGACAACTGGAGTCAAGTGCGTCCTCCGGCTTAAGCTGCTCAAGCTTTGGGTGAAAGTAATTGCGTCGACAATTCAATTAACTGCACTCAGTTGTGGCTTAGCCTTGGCTTTGAGCAGTTGCAATTAAGCCTTATCTTGCATAAGCCAACAAAGATATTGTTTATATAAATATAGATATTATTATATATATTATTGACAAACAAGTTCGCCCAAGCAGACGCCTTTGGTTCGGTGTCTCGTGTCAAGTTTACTTTTCTGCTGTCTGCAATTAGACAGCACAGTGACTAAACAATACCCTGTTGTGAGTGTTATATATAAATATATATATATATATATATATAAAGTTGAATATAAGCTGCACTTTCTTAACTTTTACTTTTACCGCGCAATCTTCAAAAAAGATGTAATTTGTATTCGTCCACAACTAATCACTAATGATTACTGCATTTAATATACAATTCTTACTTTAATTTAACTTATCTATCTTATCTTATCTTAACTATCTAAACTGGTATGCCTAAAAAGTAGCTATTGGCTAACCCAGGCTCTGTTTAAGCCCAGGCAGACTTCTAAAGGGGCGTCGCCTGCATGTTGAATGCACATTTGAAGCAAATTTTTGTTTCAATTGAAAAACGCTGCTTCCACACACGATGAACAACGCTTTAACCGTTTCAAATTACACACACAGATACACACTAATACACTAAAAAACACACGCATTTATTTTCCCCACTCAAGCGTTTAGTGGAAAAGTTTTTGTTTGCATTTATCTCTGCTGCTTTTTCGGCATTTGTTGTAAACACATCAAAGTTTCACTTTGCGGTTTGCGAGTTGGCTGTGAAAAGGGAAAGGAGGGAAAGAAGGGAAAGGAGGGAAAGGTATTCATTACCCAGCCAAAGGGTTGCTTGCTGAAACTGGCCAAAACTGAAGCCGCAGCCGCAGCCGAAGCTGAATCCAATTCTAAATCCACAAAAAGGCAGCCAATTATGAAGTGTTTTGGCTTTCTCCGCTCGCCAATTTGATGCTAATTGTTGTTGTTGTTGGTGTTTTGCAGATCTATTGGTCGCTTGGGAGGATCTGCTTAACTGGAGCGAGAATGCAGCGAGTGCACGCAAGCTGCAGCAGGAGATGAGTGCGCTGAAGCACAGTCTGCGCCGCCTGGGCGATAAATCAACACCCGAACTGCTGCTCGACACGGAGCCGGCCATTCAGATTGCCGTCGAGGCCCTGAAGGTGAGTTGGCCCATCAAACTATATCTATATATAACTGTATAACTATAACTGTATAACTATAACTGTAACATTCCCATCTGTGCAGCAAGAGCAAAGCCAACTGGGCAGCTATCGCACCAATATGCTACGCTTGAATGCCTCGGTGCACAGCTGGCTGACGCGTCAGGAGCGACGCCTGCAACAGGAGCAGGCAAATCAGCAACTATTGCTGCAACAGCAGCAACAGCAACAAGAGTCCGAACAACAACAACAACAAATGAACAACAAAAAGGAGCTGGAACAGCAGCCAAACGAGTCGAGTGGAGTTGTGGCCATCACTGTGACCGACAGCAATGGCAACCAGGTGGTGGAAGCCTCCACCGGCACCTGCTGCGACGTGAACAGCCTGCTCAGCGCCGAACAGGAGTTCCACAAGCATCTCAAGGATGAGGTCAGCGACATGTACAGCGCCTGGGATGAGGCAGATGTCAGGTGAGTTCCCCTCCCCCACAAATAGATGCCTCTTTTAGATTCCCTGCTAACCTCGTTTCTCGTGCAGAGTCAACTCGCAACTGGAGACGCTGACAAACTCGTTGATTGCCTGGCGTCAGCTCGAGTGTGGACTGAGTGAGTTCCAGCTGGCACTTGGCCAGGATCGTGGCACACTCAAGGGATTGGAGGGCGCTCTCGACAAGGGACAAGCGACGCCCGTTGAGCTGGCACAGAATGTGAAATTAGTTGCCAAGCTGCTCTCCGAGAAGGTTAACGTTAGCCAGGAGCAGCTGCTCGCCGTGCAGCAGCATCTGGATCCCAATCACATCTATCACATTGCCAAATTGACGGCCTCCAATGGTTCTCTATCCGATTCGGGCATCTCTGATGGCGGCGCCACCTCCGATGGTGGTCTATCCGAGCGTGAGCGACGCCTGGGCGTTCTGCGTCGTCTGGCCAAGCAGCTGGAGTTGGCTCTGGCTCCTGGCAGTGCCGCCATGCGCTCCATAGCGGATCGCATGGAGAGCGCCGAGTTGGAACTGAAGCAGCTGCAAAACACATGCCGCGATTTAATTGTGCGCACGGCGGCCTCACATCAACAGAAGCAGCAGCAGCAGAAGGATCAGGCAGAGCAGCAGCATAACAAGGAGGAGGCAAAGGATCAGCAGGGACAGCAGCTGGCCAATGGACATGTGAAGCAGCCAAACCAATCCCAATCGCCCAACAAACGTCGAAACGGGCGCAAATCGCGTCAACAACAACAGCAGCAACAACAATTGTTGCCGGAACAGCAGCAACAATTGGTGGTGGAGCATATGCAACGCATTGTTGCCGCTGGTGGCGATGAGCCGCCAGAAGATCCAGCAGCCACTGTTGGCACCCTCGACAGCTCAGATGAGGACGAGGATGCGGCCAAGTCAAAGAATCGCGGCTGGGCCTGGAGAATTGCGCGTGCAGCGGTCCCAATGCAGTTGGCTTTATTTACCTTCTTCTGTGCGGCATGCATGATGCAGCCGAATTGCTGTGACAATCTGAACAATCTGTCCATGAGTTTTACGCCCCAGTTGCGCTATATACGCGGACCGCCTCCGATTTGAGCGGCACGACAGCGGCGCGTTTTCCATGCGACTAATATCGTTTGAAAGAATTAATGATCGCTGGAGAAACGCGCGCGTTTTTAAGTAGGCAACAAATAATTTACGAGTATCGTTAAGCAATCTAACAGCCAGTTAGATTCCAGCGGGCCGGGCCACAAGCAGCCCGACTGCAGAATGTCGACCTCCAATGTAAAACCCCAGCAGCGAGGCGACTCCGACGCGTTTTACGCGCGACATGTGCGCGTTTCGCACGCGCGCCTTGCGTTTTGTGCGCGATTTTTTTCGTCTTTTTTTTATGAAACCGGAGGCACTTAAAACAAGAAATGGAATATGCAACACAAGGTTATATATACTTAAGATATACTTTAGATTTTGATTTGATTGATGGATTTGTCTTAAGAGATTTAGTTGCGATTCGCGAAAACATTTTTTTTACCGAGAAGCGTTTAAAATTAAGTGCAAAAACACACAAGTTTAAGCTCAACTTTAGCAAGTAGAGAGAAATGGGTGAGAAACGAGCAAAGAAAGTGGCAACAAATGAAATTGATGCAGCCAAACATAATCAGAATGATCCCGCAGAGATCACAGAGTGGAAATGAAATGAAATCTTCGCAATGTACTTAGAAGAGACTAATTGGAGATTGGAGAAAGGCAACCACGCCCCCTCCACCACCGCCCCGCCCACATATCGAGCATCGCTTATAAGGCATGACAAACTCCAGTTATTAGACTATATATATATATACATATATGAAATGTGTGTGTTTCGTTGCGATTTTTGTACAACTTTTCTGTTTAAAAAACACGACAAGTGCCTGCAAAAGACCCTCAAATGGGCACCCAGCGGAAATGAGAAATGAGAAAGAGAGAAAGAGAAAATGAGGGGCTGCAGAATGCATATATCGAGCAAGGCTAAATAGCAAAAAGAGAAGCTAGGCCAGAACTTCTTAGAGGCGCCCCCAAAGGCCCAAAATGCAACGAACTACTTTTTGTCGGTTCTGGCAACAAAAACCGTTTGAGAATTAAAGTTTCTATTTTTATACGCAATGCAAATTTACATAGAGAACGAGAGGCATCGGAAACACTTTTTGTCCACCTAACGCTCTATTTAATCAGTTTTACGTCTATTATATTAATAGGATAAATACAAAATCTACAACAAAAGCAAGCAAAAAAAATATATATCTATACTTATAGAGGAGCAGAGATCATTTAATGTGTTTAGAACCTTAAGTTGCTGGCAAACTGTCTACGCAACAGCTAAACTAAACTATGTTTAGATTGTACTACTTAATTTGGCAAAAATTACTACTAAATTATAATTCTACTTATAAGTTTCTCGTATACCTTGTGAGTTTTTCAAATTTCAATTGCAGAACATAGAAAAAAACAGAAAAATTACAAAAAAAAAACTATATGAAAAACAAAAAAAATAAAAAGTATTAAAGCATAAAACAATATCTGGTTTTTATTAAGCTTGATAACTTTTCAGCATATCCTTGGAGGTATAAAAAAGGAGATCCGATTTGCATTGGAATCCTTTCCTTTCGATGGAGGAGATTCGAAGGAGATTTCAAAATCTGGCCGAGTAAAAACCGTTGACTTTTCAACTGCGTCTCCTAAAAGTATGCCTCACTTTTTACTTGAGAGCAGCAAAACTATTTTGAAAGAAACTTACCAATTTCAATTGAGGAATGCAGCATTCACTGCTGCTGCTTTTTGGTCAAGTCCTTGCTCTCGACGATTGAATCGGATGAGAGATCGGCCACCAGCTGATGGTAAACACCCTCGGGCACCATGGTGCCAACGATTTTCTTGTTCTCATCGGTCTTCACACGAATCATTTGAATCTTGCGGCCATCCTTCTCCACGATGAGCGCAATGCGATCCCAGATGGGCAACATCAGACCCGACAGCACATGGTAGGTGCGCACGCGCAGACCCACCCCGCACTTTGCCCCAAAGGGGCAGCGTCGGTGCCAGTAGATGTGGGAACACATGCGCAGGCACTGATTGTACTGCATCTCCCAGAACTGCTTCACTGCCGCCGGCGAGGCCTTCACATACCGTGTGCTGATCGAGCTGAGTGTTTCGGTGCGCACCTGGGGACCCGTATTGGGTCTGTAGATCTTCAAGTTCAGTTTGGTGGCATCGCTGCTCGTTGCATCTGGCTGCGATTGGACGTTCAAGCAGAGGATGGCGCAATTGTTGTTGTTGCGCTCCTGCTTGAACATGTAGAAGCCCTCGTGCTCCTGTCGCTCCTCCTTATTGAATCTGTGAGGACAACATATCAAATACCTCTTTGGTAAATGCTGATTTGGACTTACTTGGTCAGCGCCTGTTCGAAGGACATGCCACGCACCACCTGCATTGTGTGCAGCTCTGTGGCAGCTATGCCCGTCGCATGCTTCCTGATGAAGCGTATCAGCTTCATGGCCGTCACATTCGCACCATGAGCATCCAAGTCAAGGATGCCCAGATCAAAGTGACCCGAACGCTTCATCTGCAGGATCAGCGAGTACATCTTGTTGAGGAAGAACTTGAAGAGCGCATTCTGCACCTCGACGCGACAGCCCAAAATGCGATTGAGAAACTTTGGTATATTGTAGCTATCCTTCTCGATGACGAACATCTGCTGACCCTTGTTCACCGTCACACTGAGCATCCCGACGCCGGACAACGCGACACAGCAATCGAAGCTAAAGTCACCCTTGTAGGACTCGGGTATGTGCATCTTTTCCAGCGGCTTCTCGCCGGTTATCTGTTGCAGGACATTCTCCAAGGCACAGCGACCGATGTTGTTGTCAATATTGAACTTGGACAGATCCCGAGCATCGGTGGCACGTCGATCGCCTTGGGTGAGTGCACCCAAGCTCTCCAGACGCTTGGCCACCGTTGCCGCAAAGCGACTCTCGCCACCCAGATCCGAAATGAGGAACACATATTCGGGGGCATTTGCCTGATTCGAGCGATGGGTGCGTCCAAATTGCTGGATGGCACGATCTGCACTCCAGGGCAGCTCCAGGGTGATGTGGAGTCGTCGTCGCTGTGTGGAGAGTCGTCGATCGCTCTGCAGCGAGATGCCGCTGGATGCCGCCTCCGAGATGATGGCCACATGCTTGGTATCCTCCATGAAGCGCTGCTTCTCCATGTAGTTGACCAGATCCATGGAGGTTTCCGCCTCGCAACGCTGCTCGTAGCGATACCGATTGTCCTCCGTTTTGATCACCCGGCCCCGACGACCCGTCATCTCGGCGACGACATTGGTGCCCAACTTCGAGATGATCTTGTCCAGTGTATTGGGCGGCATGCGACGACCCAGATGCTCAATCTTGTCCAGCAAACGCTCCCGCACCGTTATGCAACGCTCCACATCGTGCTCGGTGATCTTGGCCGTTTGCGATTCCTGCGCATCGAAGCTGGCATTGAATTCTTCCTCCTTGTTCTTGGCATTCATGTTGCTGCACAAGTGCTCCAGGATGCGATCCTGCATCGTTATCTTTTCCGCTTAGGGATTAAGTCAAGTCAATTAAAAGTGATCTGCTGATGCTGATTGATATTTTCAAATGGTTTACCCTTGTCTGACTTTGGGGGACGACCGCGTCGCTTGCGTCCCGTCTTGCAGCGTTCGTCATCGTCATCATCGTTGTTCCAGTGGCTGTAGCTCAGCTCAATATCGCTGTCGCCACCATCCGCATCCGAGTCATCGTCGGAGAGCTCGGAGAGGCGAGTACGTTTCGAGCCGGACGACTTGCAGCGTGACTCCGGCTCAAAGGTGCCCGTGTAGAGTAGCTTGTAGAAGGACTCGCGGGTGGGTGCCGGAAAGTACTTCTCCACAAACGATTTGATGATCATCTTCGAGGTGGACACAAAGCCCGTCAGCTCGCCCTGATACAGCTCGAGGTGCTCCAGCGTACGCGACTCTCCCGTCGACTGGAGTCCAATGACAACAGCTTTGCCCTGCTTCGCCGCCTCGCGAACCATTTTGACGACATGCGGCACCTTGGAGGCAATGCACAGATTCTTGAAGAAACGCTGATGTGCCGACCAGAACTGACAGATGATGATCTTCTGGACACGATTCTCGATGCACATCAGGCGAAAGGCCTTGAGGAACTTCTCATTGATCTCGGCCCAGAGCTCCGCCGAGTGATTGTAGAGCTTGTGAAAGTCCCGGGACATGGGCACCTCCTCGATGCAGAAGCTGACATCCTTGAAGCTCAGCTGTCTAGCGATGTAGGAACCCCTCAGTTTCATGTCCATCGCAACGATCTCCATGGCGCCAATGCCGCGCTTCTCCACCGTGTTGACAAACTTGAAGAACTCCGAGTAGGATGTGCCCGGTCCCCATAAGCCCAGCCGGACCATATACGCCATATTCTTGGGCTCGGAGGCACCCGTTGCCGAGGCATAAACCACCCGTGCCATGGGCAGCAGCTGCTGCAGCTCCAGCACTGTGGTGCCCGTCTTTGTGGACTTGCCCGCATTCATTAGACTCAGATTTTTGGCCTTGTGGCACTCGTCGAGCACAATGACGCCATCGTAATCCTTGGAGAACCAGTTGACCAACTGACGCAGCCGTGTGTTGTATTTGGGCAGGGCATTTGCCGACTCCCCAATCAGAGCCGTGTACGTGCAAAAGATGACGCCCTTCCGAAAGTGGCCGTTCTCCTCGGAGGTGATCCGACAATACTTGAACTTGCTCATCGAGGCCACCCCGATGAACATGCTGGCACCAATATCGGAGAGATCGCGCTCCGCATCGAACTTCAGGTCGTTCGAGACGGATATCCATAGAGCACGCTTTCTGCCCCGCAGATAATTCTCATAGATGATGGCGGCTATGGTGCGTCCTTTGCCCACTCCTGCGCCGTCGCCCAGCAGGAAGCCAGCTCGTTCGCCGCTCGGCAGGAGCTGCTCGTGCGCCTGGCAGGCATATGTCACAGCCTCCAGCTGGAGTGCACTGAGACGATCCGATTCCTTGAGCTTATCCGGCAGAACCAGCTCGTAGGTGATGTCCGGCAGTTCCACAGAGGAAAGTGTCGCCGTTTCCACCACCGAGTCGGGATGGCGGGCGCCGCCCTTCAACTTGCTGGGCCAGTACGTGGAGAAGGTGTCCGCCACGCCAATCTCCTCGAAGTCCACCTCATCCTCCTCGAGCGGAGCCTGCAGCTGCTGCTGCTGTTGCTGGTGCTGCTGTTGCTGCTGCTGCAATCCACGTTGCGCCATCTTCGCTCGCACAAAGGATTGATAGAGATTCTTGCCAATATTGCTGTTGCCTTGTGACTTGATGAAGTCTATCAGGGATTTGGGAAACCCAGCCATATTGGGCTGACCTGCTGGGACAGTCACATACTTTCTGACCGCTGGAATCTTGAGCCGATCCTGTGGATTCCTTGCCAGCACTCTCGCCTGCGTTTGCGGCTTCAGCTGCATGGCAGAGCCCAAGCTGGCGGACTCCAGTGGCGGATTAGGCATTGTCAACTTGCTTGGCTGTGGCACGAGTCGGGGCTTGTTGCACTCGCGATTGCAGGGCAAGCGAGGCACTTGTTGCTGTGGCAGTTGGGGCTGAGGATCCGCCTCGGGCTCTGGTTCCACCATGGGCAGTGAGTTGAGCTCCTCCTGCAGTCTGGCATCGATTTGAGCATCATATTCAGCTGCTGGATCGCTGGGCGCATCGGGAACAAATGGAAACAAATCGAGGATTTCCTGAAATTTGAGATCCAAGCTGTCATCCGTTGGAATTTCGACATTGTTGCCAGTTGTCAGCGAATCCAGCATATTCTGCAGCCTGAGATCCAAACTGTCATCACTTGGCATATCCACATTGTTATCAGTTGTTGTTGTTGTTGTTGATGTTGTTCTTGCAACTGCGGCAAGCTCAGCCTGATCTGAGGAATTCAGCTGCAAATTGGAGCTGACTTTCAGCTGGGTTTGGCCAACTTCCGCCGACTATAGAAAGGGAAAATAATAAACATTAATGAACTATATATCAAAATATACATTTATATTCCGCAAATAACCTCAGTTGCATTTTTCATCAACTTGGCATCCATGTTTTCTGGATCTATTTGATTCGGCATCAAATCAAAATTGGTTCACTTTTTTTTGGTAGAAATTCCTTTCTTTTTGAACTGATCACAATGAATAACTTTTAGTTACTAAAAGTTTGGCTATTGCTTTGTTTTGCTTTATATAGCTTTCAAATTTGACAGAGTGTTGAGTAACTTTCACCACAAATAAAGTGTTGAGTAAGGCAAAAGTATCGATATGGGTCAAGATGGGATTAACTTAAATAAAAGTAAGAAATATATAATAATTCAGAGGTTGACGAATTTTTCTCTTTGATTTTAAGAAAATATCAAAGCAACTCTTGATTGAAATGTCGTTTTTATTAAATGAATATATATTTACAGTTGTCAATTGAAGCGTTCGATTCTCGACATGGCTTTTGGCTCCATTTGCAAACAATTAATGTAAATTTGATGTACATTGCTATGCAGATGCTATGCTGCAGTTGTGTAAACATCCCTGCTCCCCAACATGACTGATAATAAAAGCCATGAGAAGCTCAAGGAGTGGCAGAAGGCGGCATGCACTCGACGCGAGGCTGATGCCAGACGAGCCGGGATCGGAACTTATAGCGTCGATTTTACGGTGAACACCACAAGGAATTCGAAGCGACCCAATAGAAAGAAGCGAAAGGATACCTTGACCGAAGGCAGAGAGTCGCAGCTGGACGACGAGGAGGAGCAAAAGGACTTGCGCAACAGCATGAGGGCCACCAGGATAGGCAATCACGACGAGGGCATCGATCTCTGCTATCACAAGCCGATTGTCGTTCGCTTCAAATCCAAATCTGATGTAGCCTGAGACATTTCCTATTTTTTTTATAAAGCATATTTGAAAGTTGCAAGGTTAATTTTATTTATTGTAAGGCTATTTCTTGAATATATCATAGAATTCATATCAGAAAAGTATGTTTAAACTTTGATAAGCAAATAAGTAAGTAGTGCTGTAGACCAATGAACTCTTCTACGTTATAACCTGAACTCTTCTACTGTAATTTATGTGTTTCTTAAACGAACTTGATCAAATTTGTCAAGTTGCTCAATAAGAAGCCTCTGCCAATAAAATGGTGGCTTTGATTGTAATCGGAAATCCACCAAATCAACTAAATCGACTCGACAGCTACTGCTAGCTACAGGGTGTCTGCTCTTCGATCAATTTTATACAATTTATTTGCCAGTGAAATCAACTCGAGCCTCGCTTTTGCTTTCAAAACCAAACATCTGTTTTCAGTCATATAAAAATAGTACAAAACATGTAATTTTATTTATTTATATTCTTTCTGAGTCTGTCCAAAATTGTTGGCCATCAAAAGTAAGGTCTGCTCACAATGACGAAGAAGAACGCTGAGCGGAGAACAGCTTCTGCACCAGGCGGAGGCAACAAGAAGGAAGACACCAGCTCGGCCAAGGACAGCAGATCAGCCACTGCCACGCCCAATAACTCATTGGAATCGCAGCATTTTAAGGAGGTTGTCAATTTTGCGAAGCCCAATAGGACTAGCACTGCCACCCACGTCTCAGCGGGTGAAGGTGCCGAAATCGCTTTTTATGAGCCAATTAAAATTGCCCATGAAAAGAGAAAATCAAAATGATGCCGACTGCAGTTGCAACTGCAATAAATAAATACAAATAAATTTGGCAGCTCTTCAAAGATTTTCTTTCTCGCTCTCTCTCTCGCTCTCTCTCTGACAACCTCAGCAGATAATCCAATAATTGGTAATACGCATTATTCACACCCAGCAGAATTCTGTGTGTGTTTCATCATAGTTCATAAATAATCTATGAACCACTACAGAAAAACACACACAACCCTCGGCAATGAAAAAAAGGGCAAATTTTATGCGGTTTTTTCGAGCTTTACTTTTTTGTCTTCCTCAATTTAGCAAGGGTTGTTGGGTTTTGTATCCCAGCTAGTTGAGAAGGTGCCTTGGCGTGACAATTGCAGTTCGGTTTGTTTATTATTAGGTCCTGCTGCTTATCGAGTCCTCGCAATCTGCAAATCGTATTTATAACTTGAACGTCTGCTGACGATGATGGATTTGTGCGAAATGAAACGCGTTCGAAAAGCGAAAAAGCACCCACAACTCAATGGAAACACCTTGTCTCTCTGTGTATGTGCATGTGTGTGTGTGTGTGTGTGAGTTTGCTGCTCCAACTTTGTTGCTGTATATAAGCAATTCGCTCGAACCAATCAAAATGGGTGTTTGTATATAACGCAAGTTTCCCCTTTGGGAGTGACAATATACGTTGTACTCGCTCTAACACTTTGCCGTTGCCCGTTGAACTTAGCTGCTTGCACTGCTCTAACGCTGCGAGTTATGTGCTGCTATTTCTGTCTGCCGGCAAGATACAGCATGGACACGAACCACTGTTAAGTGTATGTTAAGAGGATAATCGCATTTGAAATATGCACAAAATAATTTAAGTTTTTTTTAGCAGCACTTTGATTTTTATGTTTTGGTCAATGACACTCCCAATTAAACGTGCATTACGTATTCTGGCAGTGCTTAATTGTTAATGTTCGCTCAAATTTAAAATACAAAAAAACACTATTTTAAATTTGCTGTAATCAGTGCCAAGGCAATTTCCGTCGCTTCTCAGACACTCAGGAGATAATCCCAAAGAAACTAACTCTCATATGACATTTGAGCATTAATCATAAAGTCAAATGCTTGACAGTTTTTTAGAGCGAATAATGCTTTATTTGGCTTGATAGATGCTTGTAGCAATTGTTGAGAATGCATACAGATTGAGGGTAAGTGCTCCAGAACAATGTTAATATAATTTTAGCTCTATTTTTCTAGCTGGGGTTCAAATTTGACCTGAGGGCAAAAGTGATTTGACTTTAACGTCATCCAACAGCCACAACCCTAATCAGGGGCGTGGCAGGAAGCACAGGGAGAACTGTTCGCGTGCCAAAACGGAAGTGTCTCAAAATTGAATTTGCATAATTTTCAACAAAAAAAAGAAGCGCAAAACAGAAAAAGTTCTTGTGTTAAGTTGATAAATGTTGAAATAATCAAGCAATATGCAAGACAATGAATATATACATATGTTTATAGGAAATATCCTGCTTTAAGGCATCACTAATTGCACAATATATATAAAGAAGAACCTCTAACAAAATATATAGTTATGAAAAACCTGTATATAAATATAGCTAAGACTGTGACGAGAATAAAAGCACCCTTAAATCAAGTGCTCGACTTACAATGCCGTTTAATAAGACGATATTAAACATGTATAGAATCACACCCTTTAGCTGGAAAATATAGAAAATCAGCAGGAAAATACATGTGTATGGCAGAAGTAAGCCTAATCCATTCATTAAACTTTGTGATTACAGCTGACCACAGGAAAAAAGGGGGCTGGCATTGGGAGGGGGAAAGGACACGCAGTCCCACCCACAAACCCCTCTCAACCAGCTGAGGCTGTGCAGCCAAGTGAATAAACTGAGTGCTGACAGGCTCATTAAATGCCGCATTCAGTGGCCCTGACCGCTTGTGGATATATTCATTCAGAGTTTGAGGTTTGACGAGAATGGAGTGAGAATGTTTGTTTAGCAACTGCGTCCTGGTCGAACTGTCGAACTGGCCAAGGGCCAAAGTCAACACGTCAAATTGAATGCCTTTAAATGAAGCCAGCTTCCACACTCTGCGCCCCTGGCAAATGTTGCCACGCCCACAACCAGCAAGCAGAGCTAATTTCAGCAGCTTTAAATGCAGGCAAAAAGAAAAAGAAGAAAAAAGAAAACACGTTCATAAATAATGCGAGGAAAATTGTTAGAAATTGCCAAAACAATTTATGTTGACATTATCTCGAGAGACATTTTTTTGGTGCAAGACCCTCGGCAGCGTGGATGATTAATTACCGCAGAGAGAGATCGGGTGGGGGCGCAGAGGATATTTGAATATGAAAAGCGATAAAGTCGTGATAAGTGAGCAACATGAAAAGTGGCAAAAGAAAAAAAAAACAGAGCAGAGCAGAGCAGAGCAGAAGAGAATTATTGTAAGAGAAGTTTTGCTTATTGCTCCCCAGTTGGCGATAAACCTGCGCGAAAGCTTTAATGAACTCGAGCATTTCATCATTTCCGGCCAAGATTTGCAACCAAAAAAAAATATAAATATGTCCAGGCTGGCGAGGAGTGTGAGTTGAAGCTGGAGCTCATTTGTATGCCTGCAGAGTTGACATTTGGGATTCCAATTGATTTTTCAGTTGAATCGGCTCCTTTTTTGTGTGTTTTGTTTGCTTTGCTGATTTTCACATTAGGGTTTTTCTATTTTCTATTTTTCTATTTGCCAAATTTCTTGCGAAAATTTCCAAATGCGAAAATGTATTCAAATCAGAGTGCTGCAGAATATTGACACTTGATTTGCATTTATAATGGCTACGTGATTTTAGATTTGGAGTTTGCTAAAGATTATTTCTGCATGCCTCCTTTTTTGTTTTGTTTATCTCACCAGTCGCATCTCTTTAACTCTCTCTCTCTCTCTCACTCTCTCCATCTGTCTCTCTGTTGCTCTCTTTGTGTCTATCTCGGCTGCGATAATTTTTGAGACATATTGCGCATAAAAAATTGAACAACTTTGGCCTCGGGCTGTTTTCACCATAAAATAATCTTTTTAAGCCGAAAACAAATTACAAATAAGAAGCCCCTCTATAATTTGTTCCCGTTTTTACTTTTCTTTTTCTTTTTTTCTATTTTTTGGCTGCTTTGCATATTGTTTTTTTTTTTTTTTGTACGTTCATCGAGGGTTGCTCGAACAACGTTTCATTCTCTTAACAAATTATAATGTATTGAGAATTGACAGAATTATGTAATGAATAGAAAATTATGTAAATTACAGTGCAGTTACATTTAATGGCTCGACCTTTTCCTCATGGCCTCTTGGCTAAGGGCAGAATCGAACGGCTCGTAACAAAAAATCGAATTCCCATTTTTATTGGCAGCTCGTAAGATGCCAAACTTGGGTGCTCTAAAGCCCCAAAATATAAAAGGGAAAAGGTAAAAAGCAGACGGCGTGTAGGAATGTA